ACACACACACACACACACACACACACACACACACACACACACACACACACACACACACACACACACACACACAAAAGGCATGGTGTTACGTATACTGCAAGATGTGAATGGACCATTTCAATTTTTTAAAAAGGTTCTAAATATTTCATGAATACTTTTTTCATATTATAATTTTAGCCATGATGGGATTTTAATACCATGAGTAATACATGTTTGCCTTATCCAAACATTTCATTATAAGTTTTTGATGTGACCTTTATAATGTCTACACCAAATAATAAAAAAATGTGTTTTTGTTAACTAAATTTAGGCCTTTCTCTTACATTTTTCTGCTCTGATAAATGGGTTGAAGCAATGTACAAGTCAAAATTTGTCATTTAATCAGAACTTAATCAACATTTCAACTAACAGTGAAAGCAGTTCAACTCATAAAATGTATTTATTTGCTACAAGAGATTCACCCTGAGACAAAAAGTAAAAATGATAGTTCATCTTTCAGGACTGCCACGCTCCATGTATCCCTCAGATCGCAGTGAGGAGGAAAGGAAGAGGATGAGTGAGGAACAAATGGGCCTCACTTGCTTGGACAGAGACAGAGACGCATACATCAGGTGAGTAAATGCAGCCTAACGCCACAATCAAATCTGAATTATCAGAGGAAAAAAATAAAACAAAACATCTGTGTCTTTGTCACATCATAATAACAGGGACAATAAAGAAAGGGTGGAGTTTGCAAGGATCCACCCATCCACCAGTTGCCACAGTGACCTCACCTCTCATCTCATGGTCCCTGGTGGGACGTCACTCCAGTCCGGCCAGTTAGGTGATCCTGCTGCACATTCCGCTCATCATCATTGGATGCCAAGAACTGGAAGTCCATCTCTCTGGATGACAGGACACTCTTATGGTAAGAAGACAGTTTTGGGAACGTGGATGCTAAAATTTTAATTTACAGACATTACGTGTGAGAAGACGTGTTTGTAATCYGTCTGAAATTTGTTTTTGTAAAGCAGGCATAGGTCATACAACCCTGCACCAGAATCTGCCTCCGGGATTCTCCTCGGCCATGCCAGGCCCTCTGCAGCCAGTCCTTCCTCTGCCTCAGGACCCCTCTGCTCAGCTGGTGGTCCTGCCCTCTGAGCCTCCTGCCCATCCTGCAACACATCACCTGGGTACGACACATTCTGACTTTATCATCTGTAAATACGAGCCTTATTTTCTCTGAAGTGCTTTGTACAAATTTAAATATTTTTCAAGTTTTATAATCTGAAGATAACGCAAATTAAACAAATTCTTTTTGAGGATGGTAACAACAAACATCCCACTTATAGAAACAGTAAYGCTTTCTTTTACGGTACCCTTATTACCATGCAATTACAAGGTAATAAAGTAATTAGATGTAATTACTGCCTTATTACTATGTAATTTCATGGTAATTACGGTACAAAAGAGAAACTACTGTTAGTAAATCTACCTTTATTGGGTAACTACAATCAAATTACTATTCAATAGTAACACTATATTTATAACCAAAAGAATGCGACTAAATTTTGGGGTTAGTGGTTAATTGCAATAAAATATCACTTTAAATCGGTCCAAATTACCTACTACTTATTTAGGTGTTACATAGTAAATTGTAATATATTACCAGGTAAGTGCTACATTACTGTAAACAATTAATTACATAGTAAAATTGTACCCTAATTACCACGTAATTACATTGTAATAAGGTAGTAATAACATTTCTTTACATTTTTATTACCTTGTAATTACATGGTAATAAGAGTACCGTAAAATAAAGCATTACCATACAAACACAGTTCAAATATCTCCAAACTCCAGCCGGTACACCCAACAGCAAAAGTGTTTTCTTCTTCTCCCCCACCCCCTTTTTTTTATAGTTAATACAAAACAATTAGTATATCACACCAGACTTTATAGCTGGGGAATTAAAGTGTTTTGAAGTGGAGAAAACTTTTTAAAGTTCCTTCAAGTTCCTTCAAGTTCCTAGACTTATTCAGTTAACAGGGAGCACTACTTAATCTATTTCCTTCCAGGCTTGAACATTCAATGTTTTTTTTTTTTGTCTGCAATCAAAAGCAGCTTCAACTGAGAATAACGGGTAGCCACAGAGCCATAAGCTTTGATTCACGCCAAAAAGGATGAACCAGTTGTAACCATTTACTGAAATAAGTAAAATGGAGAATTGAAAAAAAAAAAAAACAAGTGCAAAACAATTGAAGTGCAACATCTGCAGTAAAACGTCTCAGTTAGAGTTGCAGTTGTTCATAAATCCAGATAATAAGAAAAGACACAGATCCTTTGACATGGGAACTTGGTTTACTGATAGCAGTCCTTTAATTCAGCACGGCGAGTGTGTGGACTTCTTGGCATTAAAACCACAGTGAGCGCTCCAATGGGACACGCATATTCCCAGCAAATACTCTGACCTCTAATCAATCTGCAACAATATCCTCTGGTCTCATTTCACTTCTGGCTCTTTTCTTTTTTTCAACATTCCAGAATTCTCTAAGTACTTCTTAAGAAAGTGCTTTCTGTTTGGAGGAGAAGAGAATGTGGGATTTTTTGCTGCCTGGGGGAAGTTGTTACTCAGTGAAACTCAAACTGGCWCTTTGAAAGGATAGATGTTGCTATGAAATGTGAATATGATAGTTTTTAAATGATCCCTAATGTTTTTTGCTGTTTTAGAGTAGTTGTCTTGGAGGTACATAATGATAGATATGGACTTTTTTTGTTTGCTAATGTATTCCAGTGTGTTGCACAGAGTGATGATGCATTAATCAAATGCGGGGGGGAAAAAAACGTTTTTGCTGAATGTGTGCATGTGTGATATGGTCTTCCTTTTCTCATTAGACGTGATGGAGCAGCAAGGGCTGTGGCCCCCTGTGTACGGTGCACGGGGCCCACCCTCTCACATGCAACATCCTGCCGTGTACTCCCGGTCTCAGTTTCTACGGCAACAAGAGCTGTACGCTTTCCAGCAGCACCAACAGCTTCAGCATCAGCACCAGAGTCACCAGTCACAACAGCTGCAGCCTCAGCCTCAGCAGCCTCAGCAGCAGCACAGAGCTGAACACAGCATGCACCATCAAGCCACTCACCATCAACAGGTGATTATCAAGCAAGCGTATTCGTGAAAAATGCACAGAATAGAATGTAAAAATGAAAAAAATCACACACTTTTCATGTGTCAGGTACAGAAAAGACCAGACGAGCCAGCAAACGAACTAGAAGAACTCATTTCCGAGCCAAGAGCGTCCAAACCCGCCAAGGCCTACTCTTACAACCCTCAGCAGAGAAACGCCTCGCCCCCCGGGGCCTGCGTGACTCACTTATCCCCCTGTTACCAGTCCCCCTCTCTGCGCCAGCATCCCCGAAGCACTCCGTCGACACCCTGCCCTGCTCCCAGTCCTGTGGCAGCTGCCCCTCATTCTCCTGCAATCAGCCCGGCCCCGCCGCAGATGCTTAAAGGGGCTGAGTCCCAAGACAAGAGAGGCAAGAGACAGGCCCCGCAAGATTACCCAGAGTCTCTGGAGCCTGGTAAATATGAGAAATAGTTCTTACGGCTTTCCCTTTGATGCAATGTGTGCGGTCACATTAATGTCAGTAAGATTTATATCTGTCAAATGAATATTGCTTTATTATTGTAACTACAATTGTCACTCTTGAGGGGTTTTGTATTTGTTGGGGTGAAACATGTGGGTGGCTTTTCTGGCAAGCCCCCAAATGATTAAACTCAAGGATGAGCAAACTGGCAGCTGGCCATCCCTGGTGCTTCGGCATACCGTTACCTTGGTAATGACTGAAAAACACCTCAATTGTGGCTTTCACCACACAGGCCCTTCACTCTTTTGATCATTATTAATGTCTGCCTAACATTCCTCACACGCCAGAGGAATTATTAGACTGCTTGATAAGCCAAAGGACTGGTCGTGTTTTTATAYGACGCTCTCACACACACCAAGTTCTTTGAGTCCTCTGCACCTCCTTCTGCTAGGAGATCAAGGCAAATACTACTTCATTACCTTCCCGTTTCTCGTCCCGTTCACATGACACTTTCAAACCAAGTCTGAAATGCCTTCTCTCGCATCGGTGTTATGTGTGAAGTAATCAATGCGGAAAGAGAGGTTAAAGTTGATCTAGTAGTCACAGGGCTGAGTTGGCAAGTATGTGTGAAGTTGAAGGTGGTACAAGCAGCAGTGATTTTGTTTAAAACTACAGCTCTGCACTGACTTTGAGGGTCCWAAAATGTCAACAGTAGCTGTGTTTCCATYCAATTTTAATTCGAATTTTGAGCAAATTTTWWAAATTTCGCAAAAAGGAAAAAAAATGAAGAAATGCAAATCAGACGTGTTTCCATCAACTGGCTTGAGGCGAAGCGATTATGTCAGAYGCATGCATGTAGTAAACAGGAAGTAAAAGTCGCATCTCAGGACAATAGAGAGAAGTTATCAGGAACGTGTTGCTACTATCGGGAAAGTTGTACTTATTCTGTCATRTCAACTAGTTCTGGYGATGTTATATGCTGTCTGGAGACRTAGAGATAGAAATGCAATTCTCTTCACATTACGGGRATAACTGAGTATACGCCGACAACGGGAGCAGGGTCCAGCTGCAGTCTCTCTGGTATCGGTACCATTCAGACAGTGAGAACAGCTGATCAGCATGTGAGGGAAATGTTTGCTACGTCAGAACTGATTCAACAAATATGTTTCCATCTCTCCTTTTGCACATTAACTCTTTTTTGAAAAAAAAAAAACACCTCAAGCGAGTGTATAAACTTTTATGCGAATTAGAGGAAGTTTTTTCGAATCAAGCCATTTCCTTTCACATTTTCTGATGTGACACTTCAAAATGTGCATTAAAATCATTGATGGAAACACGGCTAGTGGTGGGCACAGTTCCCCATTTCCTGATTAGTGCTTTAGAGCTTTTGCTCATTTTAAAATGTAGTAGAGGATTAGCACTTGCTAAATTTATGGGCTAAATTTTTGAAGCGCTTACTGAGGTCTATAAATGTTATTGATCAACATTAATGTTAACAGCTGATGGTGAAAGCTGTCGCACATTTTGTTTATATGTATTTCACTTATCCACTAGGTGACATTATGACAATATATGAACACAAATACAAGTGTGGAATGTCAACTATTAAGTTATAAGAGAGAAACATGGCATTATGAGACTGATGTTGTCGTTTGAAGAATGTTCATTGGTCGATTGGGTTATTTTAGTGCTTTAGAATTAGCTTTTGCTAAAATTTTTCAGTATGTTAGTGCTTTGGAATTAGGGGACCTAAATATTTGAGTTAGTGTTTTAGGGCCAGTGGAACTAAMTTTTAGATTAGTGCTGCCCTAGCCTGGCCCTTGCCTTCCTACGCAGTTCTGCTCAGTTCTAGTTTCCCTTCACTGCTCCGTCTGGGACTTCTCCCATAGACAAGGATTTCGCTGGCAGATTTTTAGCCGAACCAATCAGAGAAGAAAACATTGATTTTTCTGCACAGTRTCTGCTTGTAGTTTATTTTACYTGGGCCAATCAGCAAACAGAAGGCAGAGTTTTGAACGACGTCGGTTTTCTGTGCAGTGTCTGCTAGTTAGTTTAGCATACGGCAGTGGAGGAAGAGAATGAAGCCAGTCTGTGTTGATAAGGCTTCCAAATTAAATTAAATTTGTCTGACAAAGCAGCAGCTCTCATTTGGCTCGGTACTTTTCTCCTCTCAGTAGGGCTGTTTACAGCGCACGCAATTTCCGGTTAGCTTCTTAGCTTAGCCTCCTTCACAGCGACACACACACAC